TCAGGAAATTTTTGGAATTGCTCATACTCATGACTTATCTCATCATAGACAGTATTATTCTAATGCTTCAATTGGCTGTAATTACCTTTGATGGACTAATACTCTTTGTTTTCATTAGGTGAGTACATGTGTTAAGGGTAAGAGAAAGTGTATACAAAATGAAATTGCTTTTCAAGGAACAAGCAACTCTACCGAAATATTGCGCACCGACTCACATTGTTTGTGGCTACTACCGACTTTCTACACGCTTTTACGAGTAAGCTAATGCTAAATTGTGAAAATTCCAAACAAGGAATCTTTCTCTAAGTGTGACTGCAATTACATACCTTAAAGGGAATCTTTTAAGCACTCCCATATACAATCTACCTGACCATATTCTGCGCCACCGAACCTGTAAACCTAGAACCTTATTACATTATGATTTCCAGCACTCCTTTGATTATTCAGATGAAAGTCAAATTAACTTTGACAGCGGCAATAGCTTTGCAGAGGACAATGGTGAGGGTCAAGAATTTTGTAAATAGAGATCTGAAGGATCAAGGCAAAGGAAAAAAAACTTTTAGGCTTTATTCTTTCCCATTTCTTATCGAAGTTCATCTTCTACCCTATTTACTTCTATTTCACTACTACTAGGGGTTTCATTAGCTTGTGGCGATCTATTTTTGGAATTTATTCTCTCACCTATCAAAAGCAGTCCAGGTTGTGGAACAATAGGTTGCTTTGTCAGTGATCAGTTCCTCTTTTATTGGGGCACCAGCAATATGGTAAGATGTGATCATGCAATTCCGGAGTAAATGTGTTGTATAAATTCTAATTTAGGTTTTGGGCATTGTTGTAGTTATCTTTACGTTCATGATCCTCTTCAAGCTGCATTCAATCGAGAAGAAGCAATCGGGCAACAAATATTCCAATCGAGAGGCGAACGGATATAACCAGGTACGTGTACTCTACCAATTCGCCTAATCTATGCCTCTCCATATGGAAAAATTCAGGCAAATCGCACAACTGCAGGAATTTTGCTCACAACTCTGTTTTTCCTCACTTTACCCAGTGTAGGTGTAGGAATCATGGAAATGGTTGGCTTCTCTATTTTTAGAAGAGTTGGCCCATTTTATAGCACAGGACTCCTTTGTGCGGGTTAGTGAGAAATATGAGTCAGATACTGCTCCTGAAGCAGTGTGTAGTAAGACTACCAAAACTATCTCAGATCCAGGGTTGATAAATGTCTACCGCCTTTTCAGAAACCAGCAATGCTATAGTTCATATAGTATTAATACACGAAATGAGAAGGCTAATCAAGGGTTTGGTTGCCGATAGTGGAACTACACAAACTAGAATCTTTTTTTCTTCTGCCAACACATAATCAACATATACATTCTTGCAAATTCTTACACTTTTTGTTTGGTAGTTATTCTTGATGTATATGGTTGTTTTTCACATTGCTTAAGAAAAATTCGAAGTAATGACTTGGTTCTCCTCTTTTGCGCGTCTATGTTTCCTTTCTTGCTATGCTTGTCCATTCTCAATAAGTATATCATGTGCCACAATTATTTCGCACCTTAAACGATACGAATCACAACTTTATTGATATATGTTAAGAAAACAATAAATGTTCAAACCTAATTAGTTTTCACCCTTACTATTTGCTTCTTCTGTTGATCGTACACCTATTGCAGCAGCAACTTTGAATTAATCCACTGTATAATACAATACTGCTCATAACTTCCGCAAAAAAACCGTTATTTCACATAAAAATCCCTCGCGACGGCATAATTCGTCGCAAAGCGTCGCATCGTTTTAACTTCTTTCAATATAGAATTTTTTTTTAAACGGAAAAGCGGCGCTAGACTCAGCTCGTTGAGAGGAACCTTCCAGTATAGTATATCTTTCAGTATGTCACTCTATAGTAACATTGGTAGGTATGCGGTAGGAGGTCAACATCACGATCTGTCCAAAGCTTCACTTGGGAGGGTTATCTGGTACG